TCTGAAGCCGTAGGCATATGAAACTTCAAGCCCCAATTGTGCACTCATAAATAGTTCATTCTCATCTTAAATTTAACCAGGTAATATTACCTAATTATTCAAGGTGATCAGGTTTCAAATTGTTTTCACATTATTTACTTTTTTATCCTTGTCTGCTCTTACCCTACGTTTCCGATGGAAGTCATTAGAATATCATTAAATGCACGGCCATATTTGTATATTATTTTAGCAAACCCGTTTCCATCACTTTTTCAAACCTCTTTCATCTCGTTTTTCAATTTCTTTCATTCTGTTCCGTCCGATTTAATGGCTAGCTTTAAATTCCTTATAATTGGTAACGCATTCTTAGTAATTGGTAAAAAATGTCCGTACTTGTCGACAGAACACATTTTCTTCACGCTATTGACAATTACTTCCCTATCGAATTAGGACAGGCAAGTGTCAAAACATCGTTGTATGGCCAAGTAAGGTGTATGTCCGAAGAATGATGTGGCATGATGTACAACGTTTGTTCCGTCTTCTGTTCAATCAAAATGTGGAAAAGTAAATAAAAAAGGCATCACAGTCTTTTGGAGATTACACAGTTATCTGTCATTCATTTAGGCATAAGACGGAGATTTTTACCGATGTGTGAGAGGTCACTTCTTGTCTAAAAGGCACAAGTAAACAAATTCTTTTCGACGCTCACCGATGCTCCTGTAACAAAGTAATACGAATTTTGTTGAGACGACACATCGAGTTCTGAAGATGCATAAGCCGTTGATTTCATATGCAGCTATTGACTTTCAGATCAAAGCCTACACTTCCATAGATGATACATACATTAATCCAACAAACGGCAGTTACTGACTGTCATGGTAACGTCGATTTGGATGAAACGTTAAGTGATGGTGATGACAAAGTTGTCTTTCTATGAACTCAGAAGGGTTCACTAAACGAGACAACAACAATGTCGATAGTGACTGCGGTAACAGACAACGTGATATTTGCAATCTTCGGCAGTCACCAGGTGAAACTGATGAATATTATGTCCGTACGAAGCATTGTTTCTTTTATTTTCTGCTTGCGACCCATCACAGCACGTCAACGGATTCCTCTGTCCCATATGCGGCGTCGTAACGGACTCATACCAAAGTCTTTGTTCATGAAATTCGGAACTGTTACTGGTTACTCAGCCGCACGACGTGTATACATGGTGAGTACGATAAAGACTGGCGCATCTGTACTGTGATATGACATTATATACCGCTCGTATTGATGTAACGATATTTGGTCTGACTTTTCAACACAATACAAAGGTTGCTGCTTCAACATTATTCATTGCTCGGTTCCCCGACACCTTTTTACTAAGTTTGGATGAGTTCTGCACAGAAATAAGTTATTTCAACTAGGTACATTGCTAGGCACAATAATCTTGATAACTGCGAAACGTCCGTTAAAGCGTTCGATAAATTTTCTCCACCACACACTGATGTTAGGTGACCGTGCTATTGTAAGCCAAGCTTGTATGAACTTTTAGTAAGAACATATGTTTTAGTGAAACTATAATTTATGGAGAACCTATGAGTAACGCTTAAGTGACCTTGCGAATGTCTACCTCATTTCTAGGGCTAAATGGTGGTTACAAGGCCGTGTGAAGAATATGTATTATGATTTACAAATGATGGTTAGGTTTAAAAATTGGATTTTTGATTTAAAGCACGATTCCACATCAGCTTAAATACATAGACGCTATTCAGACAATTGGGTAGATGATTTTTGCGCCGAAATCAGAAATCTGTCATACTACTTGTGATTGGTTCGTCCATAATTTATAGTCACGCTAGTTAGAATATAATACTATTTGTTCTTTTAACAATGCGCTATTAGTAATATGCATGCATGTTCACAAACTCGTTGCCTGGTAGGTAAAGATTATCTGTTGTTATGAACTCACAATTCTTCTTATAATTAGGTAGTATGAATTAGTTTAGAACGGTCGTCATTTACTAGTGCTTGTATAAGTTTCTAATCAAAATACTATACTTCCTATACTTTTATCACAATTTGAGATTGTGGATTCTGTATACTGTCACTAGCCCTTATCTTTGCGATTACAATATCCGTTAACTGTTAAATTACATTAATTCATGTTATTTTTACACCTGAACTCACTGAATAGTGTTTTATTACAGTACAAACAAAGTCTTCCATAGAAATGTATGGTAAATCAGAATATTCACATTTCAACTGAAGTACATGGTTTTCAATACTTATGTAGAAAAAGATACTTCTGTTATTTCGTACAACTGACCAATAAATGTAGATGACATTGCGTGACCGATACTCGACAATGACTATCGTGGCTTATACTCTATGCTTTACAGTTAGCTCTATTCTTACTAGTAATAAAAAAGAGGAAGAATACAAGGTCAATAGTCATCATTACAGGATCGTTCCAATATTTCAAACATTTATTTGTGTAATTTAATATTTGAATTCATGAGTCAAGTGACGCTACACCACCATAGAAAACTTGAAAATGCCATAGAAACAATTTACGGTTCAAATAAAAGCCTGGAATCAAGGTAATACGAAAAAAATGAAACCAAAATGATCTGTCGACATGCAATCAACATATATGAATAAAGTCGTGGAAAACTTGTGTCGAAACCTTTTGCCTCTTAGTTAATTCGTCTGTTACAAAAAACGTGATAACTTATCACTTAATAACCTCGTTTGCTTGGTTTCAATTAAAGTGTAAATACTTTCTTGTAGTGATGTTGTGTTGCGTGTTCGCTAAAAATTATATACCAGTACAAAGTGTTGTATATAACCGTTTTTAGTTTCAACTAGAATACCGGACATGATTAAGTATTCAGTGACTAGTAGTCTCCTTTCACAATAATATAGTTAAAAGAAATTTATTGAAGCTGGTTCTGACAACATTGTTTTCAGAAAACGTATGTTTCTGTGATGTAGTGCATCTACAATCACAGTTGATCATGATCCGAAGATGATAGCCGTTTTAACTTTGATCAATTGCATTCAACTTCTCGGTACGAAATCATTACAAAAAGTAACGAAGTCTATTGTCGACTGAACATCCTGCATAACATTTGCAGGACTGTGAGCATTTCACTGCCACAATGAACGATGGGTAGCTGAAATCTTATAGAATAAGTATACACTAATTTTGTACATAACAAATAGATTAAGGGCCTATTGTTATATGTAGGATGATTTTTTCGTTTCATTTTAGATTTGCTAGCTGTACCTATCTGCACATTATCCTTGAGTGGAAAACCAAGACTCCAACATATCACACTACACTTTGAAATAAATAGAACAAAATATTCTAGTTAATGACTATGTAATGTATATACGAACGAATCTTAACTAAATCAATCTAAAAGGTTTCCAACTAAATCAACTTACTAGGCTTTTTTACAACAAACAACTTATCAATAAGCCTAAAATTAATAGTAAACACATTTGTGATTATCTTATTTTTCAAGTACCTATAAGTGGAATGATTGCAAACCAACCTTTGAAAACAAGATTTCAGTTCAGGTTTCTATTTCATAACGAATTATATTCTATATAAGAACTTTGATCAACATTCCTTAGTGATCTGTGAATTCACAAAATCTTGATTTGATTGTTTGTTGATTCATTACTCTATGAAAGTCTTATGTCTAATTGTAAGAGAATAAAATGAGAGAAATAATCAATCTGATATGATCACACCATTGTAACTCAAAGTCCACTATTCCCATTCACCGTATATAAGACAATGATAATTTGATAATAGCTATAATCGGAAAAGTACATTCAAGAGTTATTTAGAAATGCTTACGTCTTTAATGTGTATCGCTTCACTAATAACCTTTCTGGAAGCTCATATTTCAATAAAGAACGAAAGGTTTGAACGATTGTCCGATGACATAATCTCGTATATCAATAAACATGTAGGTATTCCTCCCTTGTGGTGATGTCAGGAATGAAATATATTGTAAAGCGATATATGTTTTAAATGAGCATAACCAATGGTTTCAATATTAATTACCGATTGAATTAGAATAGATTGACTACTTAAGAAAGTAACCTGCTCGTATACGAAACTATATTTCACTGAAAATAATGTACAATCATACAGAGGACTCCTCCTTAAAAGCTTAAACTAATTTTAGTTTCTCGAATTCACCTCTAACAGTTTCGTACGCCATCAGATTAATACTGATTTCACTTCGTATATCTCAGTTTAATACAACAATTGACGGCTTAAAGCTGAACAATAATAAATCCTTATATTTAAATTCCATTTGAAGTTCAAAATTATCAGAATTGTTTTACATTCAATTTTTGATTTCAATTTGTTTATTCCTCAGCCGAATTCTGGATGCCATGCGGCCTGCTTAAACATCTGTGCTACCTGTTTCCCGTCATCTATATATTTCAACAAGTTATCTAATATTGTTTGTTTTAATACATCATTATGGCTATTAAGCACACAACCTATTCCGGTACGTTTCTGAAAACTGTACAACCTTTCGCTGTAAAGTTTACCAAAGGCCTAATCAGAGATGTCGTGTTTGCTGTAAACATGCAGCAAAAAGAATATACAGCATTTATATGTCGATTGACTGAACTGCTGACATCCAACTAGCGATCACTGAATGTTTATCATCAGGAGCAACGAAGAAATAAGAAACGTAAACATGTTGAAATACTTTATGCTAAGAATTCAATTTTGCACCAAATAATATAATATTGAATAAAGCTAATAATAATAAATAAATAAATAATTAAAGAAATTTATGGAAAGCTGAGAAAAGCAACCGTTTCCACTCACTGGATGACGTACGTATTCAGTTGGGTGCAAGAAGAGAAGAACCAGATTTGAGGAGGAAGAGACGTCCCACAGTTGACCACAATGATTGGAATGTGGAAATTCCATCAAGTTTCGATTCCAGGAAGAAATGGCCTCGTTGTAAAAGTATCGCGACCATTCGTGATCAATCGCGATGTGGATCATGTTGGGTGAGTGACAATGATGAGATTATTTGAAAACGTATGCCATGTTGACATGAGTATTATTATTTCTACATATCTGTGACTGTGTAGAGGATCTCACAAATGTCAGACTGTAACAGAGTGAGATATTCTAGAGAAATAATTTAAAAAATTGCTGCATGGCAGCACTTTTGTCAATGTTGAGTATCACATCTGTGAGCGAACCAACCAACGGAACACAAAATGTTGGACTCCAGTGGCTTGTAAATGTTTAGCAGTCATTCCATGTAAATATTCTATGAAACCTAATACGTCTTGATATTGACATTGCTTTATTCCAGGCTTTCGTTGCTGTCGAAGCGATGAGTGATCGAAGCTGCATACAGTCAGGTGGCAAACAAAATGTCGAACTGAGTGCTGTTGATCTATTGAGCTGTTGCGAAAGTTGTGGACTTGGTTGTGAAGGTGGATTTCTTGGTCCTGCTTGGGATTATTGGGTGGAAGAAGGTATTGTTACTGGAAGTTCGAAGGAGAATCACACCGGCTGTGAACCCGAAATGTGACCATTTTAACAAAGGAAAGTATCCTTCATGTGTTAGGAAAGTCAACCAGACTCCTAGTTATAAATCCACGTGTCAGAAAGGATATAAAACTCCATACGCTCAAGACAAGCGTCGAGGTAAGTAATGTTTCAGACAGTGATAATAAATAATCATCATAATGTGACCACAGTTTACATACATTGAATACGTATATTCACCATTATTCTGACTTTCCGATGCATGAGAATAGGAAACAAATCTTAAACTGTGATGCAAGGAATGTATTTTGTAATAAGCTTATGAAATGTTTCACTTGAAATTAATTGTAACTTAGCTTGTATTTTTCTTACCGCTTTATGTATTAAAAAAGTTGGAGCTGACGTGATGGATGTTCTCCTGGTCTTTAAAATATCTCATAAGTCGATCAATCATTTTAAAACCAGTCACATTCTGATGCTACGTTCATATGAGGTCATTAAGTAGTCATGTCACATAGATATGTTACCAATCTTTCAAGTGATTACATATATTTCAAATTAGTTTCCGAGAATATTCTACGTTGGTTTCCACAGAAAGTTCCTCATCGTATATAAGCAAACAATTGCTTGGAATTAATTCTTCTACCTATGAAACAATCATCTTCGAGATTACTTTTGATAGCTCTCTAGTGAATAAGTATAAATACAAAATAAATTTACATCGGTGGTGTTGTCATTCTATGGAGTATACTTTACACTTACTGTTCACCGTCATTTCATTTCTATCTTCAAATATGTGAAAAGCTTCAGACTAACAGTGAAAGCGAATTCCATCTACTTCTCCACTATAACTGATAATTGTTTCATTTTCACATTCGTTTTATTCATATCTTAGGTAATTCATCCTACAATGTTGATAGTAATGAAAAGACTATTCAAAAAGAAGTCATGAAATACGGATCAGTAGAAGCGAGTTTTACCGTTTATGAAGATTTTCTAAATAACAAATTTGGAATCTATAAACGTATTACTGGGGAATTCGTTGGTCGACACGCCATGCGTATCATCGGATGGGGTGTAGAAAACAATACTCCTTATTGGTTGATTGCGAATTCGTGGAATGAACATTGGGGTGAAAATGGATATTTCAGAATACTACGTGGTCATCATGAGTGTGCCATTTTAATCCGAAGTAACAGCCTGTCAAATTAACTAATAACACAATCTTAAAAAATCATCACAAAATGTTACTTAGAGTCAAGCAAGTCATTACAAATGTATGCGGAATACTCCAGAGACACGTTTTATATTCATATTATTTTTTCATACATTTTATATTACAAATAAACTGTTGCAAATACTTACTAAACTTGTTACTGAACTAGATGTGTTTGTTAGGTGTATTATGGTTACAAGGAGTTCATTCAAAGTACCGAAGTGATAAACAGCTGAAGTATTTTAGACGAACTCCCTAACCGTTATCTACAAGCTTTCAATGAACGAATCACTGTTCATTCCAATTACATGTTTATTGAATTGAATTCATACATTCAATTTCACCATTCCATAAGAAACATAGAAAAAAATCAGATTCATTCAATGTCACCATTCTCTAATCAATCTGGAAAGCGGTACGTATTCTCTAGTGATAACATCACCACTAACAGTTATTATGCAAACATTTATGAATAAGCATGAGAACACTAATGAAGGCATTGTTGAATGTGCTGTTCACACTGACCTCTGTATGTAGTATGTAACAGTTATTAAGGAATAATAAAGAACGTCCCAGAACTATTACAATATCAACAGAAATAGAACAAAAATTAAATTTCAATGTATCTAGTGATAGATAACCTCATGAATCTCAGCTGGGATCAGATACAAACCCGTGTAATGATAGGTAATATGAAGGGAACTTGTACAAAACGCAAATATAAAATACAAGATTGATGAAACTTCAGTCGAAATATCAGCATTAAAATATTTCAATCCGCTAAACTGCAAATCTATTGTTTATCCCCTCAATACCTTACCTGATGTGTGTAAAAAATGTGTTTAGAAATTGATCAGTTATATGATTTAGCGGTTAAATGAGATTTCAGTGAAGAATTATCTCAAAGAAGCGTTTGTTATGATAACATGAGCATATAGACAATAGACATGTACATAATAACAACTATATACTGACAACGTGATATTCTCGGTGAAGTTTATAACTTGACACATCAGATGTTTCTTGTGATAGGTTGAAAATTCAGTAAACTATGGGTAATTCTCCGTGTTTTCAATGGTTAGATTTCTGCTTCTTATGTGTAATCACTATGCAATGTGCTAAATTCATCTGTTCAATATTGAAGAATGAGACTTTAAGCCTTTAAGGGTGACTATTATTGACAAACTTATTTTCTTTAAAATGAATCGTTTAATTTGAAATCACATTTTCACTTTCATTTCAAAAACCGTAAGTGAATCTCTTAACAATGAAAGATTTTGACTTCTCACCATGCCTATTTACATCAACACATCACTGAATGTAACGCTAAATATAAACCGAAGAAAAACACTGACCATCATCAAAGTGAATATGTATGGATTATTGATCAATTAGTCAGACATAACTAACATAAAGCTTGTCAGTTTCGGGATATATGGATCAAATGAAAGCAGGAGAAAATCTCTAGTTCAACTCATCTATATTTATTAACAGTTGTCTACGCAGGATATTTCCGATCCGTTGGCCAGACATTATCAGCAACAAGTTACTGTAGGAGACAACAAACCAGGTTCTAACGGAGGAAGAAATCAGGAAAAAACGCTTGAAGTGGCTTGAGCACACTTTGGAGAAATCGCCCAATTGCGCCACAAGACCAACCCTCACATTGAATTTTGATGATCAAAGGAGAAGAGGAATACAAAAGAACACATTACGCCGAGAAATAGAGACAGACATGAGAAGAATGAACAAAAGTCTGGTAGAACTATAAAAGAAGGCCCAGGACAGAGTGGGTTGGTCGGCGGCCTGTACTCAATTGAGAGTAACAGTCGTACGTAAGTAAGTATGATAATGGATATAAGTGATAATGGATATCAGTAGATATGTCATCAGAACTTTTCATTTAGAAAATGTTGAAACGTTCACTATACAATCAATAATATTTTGTTAAAAATAATACAACTTTGATATTTTGTGGGTTTAATAACATTCATCAGACAATACAATACGGTTGACAGAACAAACACTGAAAAAAAAGAAAATGATTGTTAGTGAATTCAAACTATTAAAGTTTCGAAATGAGGTTTCGTATAGATGGTGGTAATTTTTCATAGTTGAATTCATGAATCAATAGAAGTTGGACTACCATGGAAGACCTAAAAGCGCCAGACGACGGTTTCGTCCTCGTATGGTTCTCCCCAACAACGCTCATCGGCAGTCTCGCACTCCATACTCGAACCCAAGACCTTCAGTCTCACATGCGGACGTTCAGCCTGTAGACCACTGAACCGTGTTCCACTGGTATTTATCTTCAACTTCAACCGAACCATGATATTGAGACAACGTACTCCATTGTCTTCGGTGATTTAATGCCTCTACAACCGACATGGTTGAACTATATTGGCCATAGTTTCATTTTTTTTATTAATTAGTAATAACAGATATTTTATTCAGTTACTGAATACAGAACCGTAAAAATTTGTGAAAAACAGTTTTCTGTGCTGAACTCATATATTACTTTTGAAAGCTTTGCGTTATTTATTTGGTTCGATAACAACAGTATCGCGACAAACATTGCATGCCTACCTTGAGACCAAGCGACATTAAAGTCATTGGTATGGTAAACTTTGAAATATTAACGTCAACACAAATGATCTGTAAATACAAGGAATAGGGGCGATGCGAATGTCTGGTGTTTGAAATGACATTGAATTTAGAATACTCCATGTCTCTTTTTAAATTTCACAAATAAAATCTGAAACCCTAATCCTTTAATGTTGAAATTGCTGAGCTAATAATGATGTTATATGAATGGTGCCTTTGATGTTGAATGACAATGTGGACTGACTGAAGTTAACTCTCAGCATTTTTGAAAATATATGTCAAGGAATGAGATGAGTTCACACAATTACTATCCACATTAACAGTGGATTATAAAATATGAACTAAACGATGTTTTCGATGGTGATTTTTTGGCGTTTCATTGGCACACAGCATGTATTTCCGTCGTCATTGGTTAAATACCTCCATAATGCATATACATCTTGTAGTGCCGTGCTTCGCTTATCATTCGCCTCCATAGCCACTATAATACAAATCTTAACGGTGCATAAAATCAGGAGGCAGAGAGAAGCGGTAACTATTTATTATTATTATTATTATTATTATTACTAATGGCTTTATTCAATATTATACAGTTTTAGTGTCAAATCACGCAGACCGGAAGATTATAAGCACATGAGTAAATACCAGCAAGCGAAACAAAAATGACAAGCATTGGAGATGGCAGGTTAGCCAACTCACTTTTACCAGGCGTTAATCAATATTTATAGTCAGACAAGAATAAATGACAGACATGCGATGAATAGGATAAGAACTGTAGACACACCTACGCTCATTTGAAAATGGTCAGGGTTAATAAGTGAATAGTTAACAAGGTGAAAACATGACTCGTGATAGATAGGTGAATTGACTTATCCATAAGTTAGAGTAAAGCATATAAGCTTAACATACCAACCGATACAACAACCTGAGTTTCCGATTGAGTGGACATTTTTTAATACGTTATAACATTCTGCGTTTACTCATAAAACTCAGTTGTTCTTTTTCTGTTGATCCGAGAAATTATTCGAAAAAAGCAAAGTTGAAGTTTTGAATATTCACTGAGAAACATCTTATTCAATAGAAGCTCTTGCAGAAACATCTAGAAAGTGAAAAATCACATGATGTGTTTCTCTTCGGATGATCACCTATACTGCTGTTATGTTAAGCAGCGTTCTGGGAATTTCCGAAAGCCTGAGTACATCTGAAATGCCATGAATACCTTCACTTTTTGTACATAAACGGACCATTGAAGTAGAGAATTTCGTCCATATTTTCTCTTTCAGATACAGTTTGCTGTGTAGATTCAGTATAACGGTTACTAGAAGAATTTTGTAAACCAAATTTGGCGTTCATTTAGAAGACATTAGTTTGCTATTTTCCACCACTATTGTTTTCATACTTTTGATTCATATTTCCATCTATTGTGAATAAATAGTTAACTGATAAACGAGATTTTTCCAAGATAACTAGGATTTCAGCTTTAAAAATGATCATTCAAAGACTACATTTGTAGTCAATTTCGCTCATAAGTAGATTACAGTGATTTCAATGAACAAAGAAATGTTCTTTTTTTATTTTTGAAACTATTTCGGTGTGTGCTACTGGTATCGTCTGATATAAGTAATATGTATCATCAATCCAAATTGAAATGCTTGGAGTCGGAAAATTAGGGAAAAGAGAACAGGAACCAAAAATGTATTGGTGTCCATGTTCACTACACTAGTGATTCTGTGGGCTGCATTTTCGGTAATTAAAAACTCTGATGTTTTACATTATTCGTATTGATTTGACAGGTTGAATTTTAATGATGACTGTATTGACTAATTCAATTGACAATTATGTTAAACATGCTAGACATAACGTACCTAATAGAGACTTTCATGGTACATATGAACATAAAACTACCTATGTTAATAAATAGTTCTGAAACTAGTCACAAATTCATTGTGATCATCAACTGATTGCAAACTACATCACACAAATTTAAATTATCCATCATCGAACAAGAAGACAGAAGATAAACACTTTGGTTTTGCATTCGTAGATCTTTAACTTCCCATTCATTACACTTGATACGTGAAGACAGCCTATGCGTGTAGTGAATGGGTGAATTGTTTTGATGCTATCTATTTCACACTCGTTATCAAGGTATACCTGAAACCTTAACAAGAAATATACAGCCTAACATATTTGATAATATTTTGCCCAAATATACAATCTCAGACCTTACGACAGAGCTATCAGCCTCTGAGTTTCTACTACATTATACGTTTTTCATTGTTAAATCAGTGTTTGAAAAATACCATTAGTCGACCTTCCCTTCTCATTACTTGTCTTACCGTGCTCTTGTCGATGTATAATATTCTTCAAATAGTCAAATATAGATTAACAA